GAGAGGGCTCCTGTCTTTCTGCCAGTTTTCAAAGGGAACTTTTTCAGTTTTTGCCCTTCAGTTATGATATTGGCTGTGGGTTCTTGTCATAAATACGCTCTTGATTATTTTGAGGCTCACATTTCCATCAATACGAATTTATTGAGAAGTTTTTAGCACTGAAGGGCTGTTTGAATTTTGTCAAAAGCCTTTTCTGGATCTATTGGATGATAATCATGTGGTTCTTTGTCCCTTTGGTTTCGGTTTTATATCCTGGATTATGTTTATTCGAACTTTGGCGAATGTTTGAACAGCCGCTTGCATCCAGGGTGAAGCCACTTGATATGGTGGATAAGGGCTTTTTGTGTGTTGGCTGAACTTCGGTTTGCCAGTAGTTCTTATTGAGGGAATTTTTGGCATCGCTGTTCTCGGCGCAATATTGGTCCACACTCTCAATCCTTTTTTGTTGTGTCTCTGCCAGCGCTTCGCGCCTCCCTCAAGGATGATGTTTGGCGCTCATAAATGAGTTCGGGGAGGGATATCCCTCTTTTTTCTATTGACTGAAATAGTCTTCAGAAGGAATGGTAGCCAACTCCTCCTTGTACCCGTCTGGTAGACATTCAGCTGTGAATCCTCTGGTCTGGACTTTTTTTGCTTTTGTAGTATTAATATGTTGCCTCAATTTCGAGGCCTACTATTGGTCTCACTTCGAGGGATCCTGCAGACTTCTTCTGGTTTAGTCTTGGAAGAGTGTAAGTTGTCAGGAATCTTATCCATTTCTTCTAAAGAATTTTCCAGTTTATTTGGCCGTGAGGTGGTTTATAGTATTCTATGATGTAGTTTGTATTTCTGTTGGGGTCGGTGTTGTATCCCCTTTATCATTTTCTAATTGCGTCGGATTTGATTCTTATCTCTCTTTTCTCTGTTATTAGTCTGGCTGTGGTCTGTCTATCTTTGTTGATCTTTTCAAAAAACCCAAACTCGCTGGATTCATTGATTTTTTGGAGGGTTTTTGTGCTTCTATGCTCCCTTCAGCTTCTGGCTGCTGATCTTACGTTATTTCTTGCATTTTTTTTTTTTTTTTTTTCTGCTATCGCTTCCGAATGTGTTTGGCTCTTGTTTTTTTTCTGCTAGTTCTTTTATTGCGAAGGGGGGGGGGGGGGGGGGGGCGGGGGGGTTATCGAGTGTCCCATTTTTAAGAATCTTTCGCTTATTCTCTGTGTGGAGCGATTTAGGTGCTATAAATCTAACATCCTCATAACACACTGCATTTAATGTGTAACACCGCAGAGATTCTGGTAAGGGGGCTCTGTATCTTTTGTTCTCATTGGTTTCAAAAGACATCTTTAATTCTCTGCCCTTCGATTTCGTGATGATACGCAGTAGTCATCTCAGAGAGCAGGTTGTTCAGATTTCCAATGTAGTCATGAGCGGTTTTGATTTGAGTTTCATTGTCCTGAGTTCTAAAAGTTTGATTGCAGCTGTGGTCTGAGAGACCAGTTTGTATTAAT